GCTACCCCTGAAATAGAGGGCCATCTTCTATAAAGCAGGATGCCTGGCCACCTTTTCTCTCAAGCAATTCATGTCTCCAATATTGATGTCAACACCTGAAAGGTCAATAAAGCCTTAGGAAGGGTAGGGATGGAGTTGGGGATGCTTGCTTGTTTCTCTGAGGAGGCAGGATAGAAACGAAAGGGTGGGAAGAACAGTCTTTCACTCGCTGAGATAACTTTTGGCTGTTGCAGGAAGCGTTGGTTTGCTTTCCTGTGTGCCACAGGATGCACAGTCATCAGGCATTATAATAGACAAGTTTGAAATGATGCATAAGTCATTAAGCATCCTGCTTTTTTGGCACTTCCTATATCATGCAAAGCTGGCAACCCATCCAGCACACATAGAAATTCTTCTGCCGTAGCTTCCCAAATTGTCATACAGACCTTCAGTGCTACTTCACATGGGCCTTGGGGTGTGTGTGTGAGAGAGAGAGTGAGTGAGCATTAGTAGTGTCCTGAAAATAGAAGGCTGACATCCGGGTGAGCTACATCACAAATTAAATTGAAAAGCAAATGTTAAGTGTGTTCTAGTTTTTTGTAATAAGCAATACCTGTAAAGATTTTGTACTTTGATTTCATTACATGTGTTTTTATATGTGTTGGAAGCTTTGTCCCAGAGTGGCTGGGGCAACCCAGCAAGATGGGTGGGGTATAATAATAATAATAATAATAATAATAATAATAATAATAATAATAATAATAATATCCCATCACTACCTCTGAGATTGGAATACTAAGAGTTGGAGGGGACCTTGCAGAACATTTATTCTAACCTGCTGCTTGATGCAAGGAATCCAGAATTAGGGCACCCCCAAGAGATGGCTGCCACCAGGAAATCTGCTTGAAGAGGGAGAGCCCACCACCTCACTAAACAATTGCTTCCATTATTGATGTGCTCTTACCATCAAGACGTTTCTCCCAACCAAAACATATCCTCCTGCAACTTAAGCCCATTAGATCATAACTTAAGCCCCTTTGGGGCAGCAAAGAATGGGCCTTTGCTGTCTTCTATGTGACAACCCTTTTGTGTATTTGAAGAGTTGCCCATTTGACTCGGATTCTTCAACTGTTTATGTGACTGGAGCAAAGAATTGTGTCTCTGGGTGTGCAGGTTCATTCTGTTGTTTCTGCTTTAGGCACCATAAGGCAAGCCTTCACTAGATGCTCCTCTCCAGCTCTCACCTAAAATACAAAAGTCACAATTCATCAGAGTTAGGTAAGCTTAACTCTATTGGTGTCAGTGGACTTAAGGGTGCCTAACTCTGTGGTGCTGTGGGTAAAAGCCTCAGCGCCTAGGGCTTGCTAGTGGGGTGCGCTCCCGCTGCTCGGTCCCAGCGCCTGCCAACCTAGCAGTTCGAAAGCACCCCTGGGTGCAAGTAGATAAATAGGGACCGCTTACCAGCGGGAAGGTAAACGGCGTTCCGTGTGCTGCGCTGGCTCACCAGATGCAGCTTTGTCACGCTGGCCACGTGACCCGGAAGTGTCTGCGGACAGCGCTGGCCCCCGGCCTCTTGAGTGAGATGGGCGCACAACCCCAGAGTCTGTCAAGACTGGCCCGTACGGGCAGGGGTACCTTTACCTTTACCTTTAACTCTGTTTTCGGCTATGACCAAAGTGCTTTTTCTTTTCTTTTTCACATAGCACAGTGTAGTGAAACAAAGTGTGTATTTGTGTGGTGTGTGCATGTGTCGTCTTGTTATGAGATATCTCCAGGATGCTGAGCACATGCCCCACCACCCCAGCGCAGCTTTTATCTTGCGTTCATCTTCCCATTATAACTATCTTGTCTCTGCCAGGACAGTTTCAACCAAGGAACATTTTTCCACAGAAGTCATTCACAAGAATCTTCATCGCCTGTAAAATGTTTTGTTTTTTTCAGCAAGCAAATGGAAGGAGAGAAACTATAGGTGAGCAGTCCCAGTCATACTCTTAACTCGTTTTTCTTTTCTTTCTTTTTTTTAATAAGAAATTTATTGCAAATATAGAAATTGATTTTCTCCATACAGGAATCTCCGATTCAAGGAAAACAATTTCGTGCCATTCAGTTTAAAACGTGTGTAGGATGGAGGAGAGGGAGGAAGAAATATCAAATAAAACTCAAACCTAAAATTAAATCAAACTTCAAAAAATAAATCTCCATACACAACCAAGATTCACAGGATCATTACAGGAGGAGGAGGGAACCCGAATGGCTGGTGAGGACCCAAACCAGCAGATGCCTCCAATTGTGTATTACATTCAAGGGGCAGGGGAGCAGAAGTGGGACTTCAGGGGGAGACTGGGAGGAGAGGGGGCACTACCCCCTGCTCTTGTACCCCAATTCTGTGCTTGTGGGTGGCAGGGCTATGCAGGGATTCCACCCCTCTTACAACTGGCTCCCTCTCCTCATGTCGTAGTATGGATTGGGAGTGTAGGAGTCACCTGAAAGCAAGGCCTCATATTGGAATCAAAGGCCAAGAATGGAGGTGGGGGGCAGGCAAGGATCTAAGGAAATTCATCCCTCCAGAAGATGGAAAGGAGATGTGTGTATCTGGGAGGAAGGACCTTCCATTTGCAGTCGTCTTCCACTGTGGTTTTCCTGCCCTGAAGTATATGGAGTTAAATCTTCCTGAACAAGATACAGTAGACAGAAAGGGGTAGATGTTTTATTCCAGTTCACAGCAGAAAGGAACATCGATGAAGAGATCCCCAAGGTGGTTTAAGATCTGCTTCGCGGAGTTGATCTCCACAAAGTACCAAAAAAGCAGGAATGTTAAAAGAGCATGGTGGGGGATGAAAGTTTCCTCAAAGCCCACAAAAAACCCCAAATAAAACAAAAGCTCAGTACAAAACATTTCACAGTGAGATTCATTAAAGAACAACTTCCCAGTGTTGTAGTTTATACACCGTGACTCTAGGGAGGCTGTTGTCCCTGATCCTGGAAGGGTTGCACTTTCGTCTGTGCGCAGTGTCATGGCTGTTGAGCGGTGGGTGATGGCCGCCACTTAAAAAGGGATCCCCCCCATCTGATAAATGGGCTTTCCACATGCTATCTTTGCTGGTCCTTTCATATGCTCAGGGCAAGGAAGATGGAGCTCATTAAGCAGCTCTTGATGTCCTTCCGTGGCTGCATTCTTCTCCATGAGATTTGGCTGAGTTGGGCTTTCTGGTGCTTAGTTCATGGAATGCTCATCTTGGCATATTGTCTTGTATACTATGCACTTGGTTGCATCTTGCAATGTCTAGTTTAGCTAGTATGTCAACTGATGAGATTATGCTTAATGAGAGTATATAGAATTAGGCTCTGGATTCCAAGAACTGGTAACTGGATCCCACAAATCACTTATCCTCCAACTTGCTCCATTCTTCTCTCCATCTCCACCTCATTAAATTTCCTAATCCTGTCTGCTTTCGTTCCTGGTCTCCTCCTCCATCACCTCATTTTTCCTCAACACTACACTATGTTCTTGCCCAGTTTTCCAATGGAGGTCTTATCAAATGAGGACTTCCCACTGGACACTTCAGCAGCAGAGATGGGCAAGAAGGCTGCCCTGCTTCACAATGTTCTACTATAGCCAGGGCTAGGAGGCTTTATTGGGTGAGGGACTTATTCCCGCATGGGAAACCTTCTGGGGTGGGACCATATGTCAGCGAGGACAGGACCCAATGCAAAAGTTGGTGAAGCAACAGACGTGACTCTTACCTTTGTAGAGTTGGCTCATTCCAGCTCTGCAAAAACCGGTGGTTTCAACAAATATCCAAACCTCTACATCCAGGCAAGCAAAATGTGCTGGCCACACTCCAAGGACACAGTTCAGGCAGGGAAAAGCACTTGAGGAAGGAATGGAGCAGGGTTGGTGTTGGGGGAGGGGTATGGGCTGGCCATGGTCTGAAGGCACATGAGGCCCCCACCTTCCTGAAGCTAAGGGTAGGGTCTGGGTCTGATTTCCAGGAGACCACATGTACATTGGTGGACTATAAATGTAAGCAACTATATTAAAAATAAGCAAGTGTATATGTGGCCCACGGAACAGTTCTGTGGGTCAGAGAGAGGGGGGCCTGGAGGACTGCATTCACTGCCCCACCTCTGGGCAAAAGGTTCCCCATTGCTGTCCTACAAAGACTCTTGGAACATACATTGATTTGCCATCGTATCATGCAGGGGTCAGTACACAGATCAGCACTTACAGAGATCCAATGCTCTGAACCAGAACCTCCATGCTCCACTGTCTGGACAATCAGCCCTTCTTTCTAGTCATTTTATATATTCTAAGATACACGTTTTTCCTCTTCATTTTCACCACTATGTCACTCTTTCTTCATGATCCCCTCCTTTTATATCCTACAACCTCCTCTCCTATTTTTTCTTATCACTTTTTTTTCTGGAATAGATATAGTAATTTCTATGGAGAATTGGTAGTAGGGATGCCAGTGAAAGTCTCCAAACATAGGATCACAATCAGATTTTGGAAGGCTCATCAAAATCCATCTCAAAGGAGAGGTGAGTTTTATGGCCCCTGAATTACATCTTCTCTGGCTCAGATTAAAATCTGAGCCGCAGAAGAATTCCTAGCCTCCCCGCTCCCATCAATGCTATCTCTCATAGTTACTTAATGCCCTCTCTGCTTGTCCCAGTTTTCTCAAACCATTCCACTCTTCCTTTCATTTACCTTTCTAGAGCCAGGGACAGGAGAAAGTAAAATGACTGGAGGGAATATTTCCCCCTTCTCCCCTCTGTTGCACTGATGTGATTAGCAGTGTAACAAGATGCAAAAACTCGGAAGGCCATGGAAGATGTGGTTCTCCCAAGAGTTGCTGCAACTGCAGTGGGGAAAGGGTGACAGAAATGAAAAGCTCCATTTCTTGGCTGCAATGGCTGCTGCTGCTGGGGGAAACTTTAGAGGACTGCAACAATTTGTAGGGTTTGGGATTTTTCTAAGCTCTTGGCTTGGAGAAATGATCTAAGATTTTCATTTTTTTCGGGGGTGGGAGTTAATCCAATACAAGCTTGGGGGAGCTCATCCACATGTCTCTGCCCTGATCTAGTAAACTAGCCCAAATGACCACAGTGGTCCATTGTGGCCTTGCAAGTTCTAATTATCACTGTTTCTGCATTATTTACCCTCCATTTCTCAGGTGTCCCTCGCTGTCCCCCCAACTTCTGTGTTTCCCTGTCAACCCCAAATCTTTCTATAGTGTTGGCTTCCCAGAGGCTGAGTGAAACTGGTATTTCTTCATATCTGACCTCCCCAAAACTTGTGCGACAACTTTTCATGCATAAGGTAGGGCAAAACTATCTCAAGTTTCGTCCTGTGTTTGTATTTGGCCTGGCAGGAGAGGAGCTGGAACAAAGTAGTTTGATGAAGAGACAGAGAACTTCTGTGCAATCCTCAGGGAAGCTTAGGATGAAAATCAAAGCTTCAAGCTAGCCCAGGGTCACTTGTCTACAGCAGATTCTTAAACAGGCACCTTCATGATACAAGTCTCCTAACAGGCTGGTATACTGGGTGGTAACCATTACATTTATAGAAGGCCTGTGCTTTTGACTTTTCTTTTTTGCAACTTTTCCAAGTTGCCACCTGTCTTAAGTATCCTCAACAAGCTTTTTCTGATCACTGTACTGGGCAGCTCAGAGTGCTGATAGCCAGAAAAAGGCACCTTATGCTGGTTTTGTGGAGCAGCAGTACTAACAGTCCCAAACAGATATTTCCTCCTCTTGTTAGTCCAAGTTTCTGCCTCTTGATTCCTGTCCCACAGTCTTGGCTTTCTTATGCCTCTTTTCCAGTTCTATTGCCATGATCTTCTGTCACCACCCCTCTCACTCTCCCTCACCACATATCATCACCCTCCTTTTGGGGGTCCCTTTTCCTATTACCTCTCCCCACCCTCATCTGGCCTCCGAGAGCCTCTAGTTAAGTATTGGGGCTGATTAGCATTGCAAACACATCGACACCACCTCAGCCAAGATTCCTTGACATAAATTTCCATTTGTCGTTCATGAATATTTCAAGCCCACCTCAGGAGAAATTATCTGGCACAGGAGGCAAGATAGCAAAGAATGAAGTCGGGGTGGCACTGCAGTATTTGCAGAGGCGGTGCCTGTGGCATCTTCCAATGAGATCAGAATCACAGCACAGTGTCTTTTTCACAGGTTGTAGGTGCTGTACAAAAGCCCACTTTGCCCTTGTACTCCTGATCCTCCTAGGAGATTTCTCCTGAGTCATTTCTAGAGGGTGTGCGATACACTCCAGATTCTTATCTTTTTCTTCCAACTCAGTCACAGGAGGATGGGCTGTACGCACCACCCCTCCCATGCGGAACAGGTGTCCTTCCTTCCGAAGTGCCACTTTGGGAAGAATCTGGTCCACTGTCAGTTTTAGGTTCTTCTCTACCACTGAAGTAACCGGAGTCCCTTTCAGAGGGGAGTACGAATCCAACTCTGGCCTTCTCTTCCTCCCAGCAGTCTAAGCAAGGTCTCCATCACTTGGTGGCTGTCCAAGCCCAGCAAAGAAAACAAAGCAAGAATTTTCTAGGCTAAAAGTGTCCGGTTTCTTCTTGAATGCGCCACAGGTATTTCAGGACTCCAAGGCAAGAATGATCAGCTCACTCTGGGGAGGCTCCTTTAGTGCATTTCTCCACCACAAAGAGGTGGAGATCAAGATCATTATGTGAGCTACACAGTGGCTTCGTTACTCAGTCACTGCATACAGTTGAGGAAGCTTCATCACCAGAACCTACTGGAGTCAAGGGGAGACACCCCCCCCCCCACTGCTTTGGACGAGGCCTGCAAATTCCCAATTAAGGTGCCCTTAAAGCTAAAGGTTCTGGTTCTGCGCTGGGATGACCCTAGCAACAGATGTTTGGCCAAGGATTGGGATTTCCCTTGACCTGGCAGCCCTCACTTCACAAGCGTTTCTATGAAATCAAGACTCATGAGGGTAAATGACTACCACAGGATGAGCCCATGTTGAAGATTTGGTGCCATCATTTTGGCCTCAGAAAGTCATTGAGGCCAAAGCCAGATGCTTGCAAAGGGGCAGTCTGCCTGTAGGGGTGGACTGCATTGGAAGTTGGGGTTGCTATTTTGCTGGTGGCACCTGGTTTGGGTCATCTTTGGAATCCACTCCCTCCCAAAGTTGTCAAATCACAATGGCGGTCAAGGGCATATGGGGAATTTGGAGGCAAAGTGGGAGGAAGGAGCAAAGGAGCATGGTTAGGTTTAGTCTCGACAAACCAGCACATACACAAAAGATGTTTTTGCTCAGAAAAATACAGTTAAAATCATCATGCAAATATAACGCTTAAATCTCCTCTTTTCGGACTGTGTGCATGTACTCTGTGGTTGTTCAGAGTCTCATCCAGCAGCAGGGAAAGGGTTGGTCAGAGAGTTAGAGCAAGCCTTCCTCTCCCTTTGCCACCCCTCTCCACTCCTAGCCTGTTGGAACAGTTCTGTCCTCCATCAGCTCTGGAAGATCCTGGGCTTGCTATGTACCCACCACCAGCTATGATCTAATCTGAATCCTTTTTTTTTTCCTTTTCCCTTTTCAGAGAGATGGAGGAAATTGAGATCAATGGCAACACACAGCACACAGCCTCTTACGTATGATTTCATCGCAACCTGCTCCACAATAAGAGATTATGGGATGGGGTGGCTGGGGTGAAGCAGTGGAAGTGGGAAACAGGGTTTGTTTGCACCTTCCTTCCACCCTCACTGCCTTTTACCCTGATTCCGAGTCAGAAGGCAAGTTATCTCATTTCCCAAGGGTTGTGAAAATCTATCTGGGGTGGCTTTGGTGTACCTTTTAATAGCGACATAATATGGGAGAATTTTGGCTGGTGCAGTTTCTGCCACCACTGCAGCATGAGTGTGGGAGAAACTGCCAAATTTCTCCCATCTCCACACATATTAAATGGCACAGGTATCTTGTCCTAGATGGATTTGGGTGATCCTATGACACCAGAATGATCCAGCAACACTTCCCCGTATATGATGGTTGATGGCTTTACCTGGCCGAATGTTCCAGTTCCTCAACAAGTCCAGCGCACACAACCATCACCACTTTTGAATCACGCTGAAACATCTCCTCTCTTGCCAACAAACTCACACCTCCCTCATTGTTTCAAGCACCATAAGGGTGTGCTATCCAGGATGCCCCCTACACCCTTTACTCAGACCGAGTGCTTTAGGGGAGTCAAAAACTGTATTTGGTCCTGCTGTTAATATCTGCCTAGGATCAAAGCACTGCAAAACTTCCCACAACACAGGAAACATGCCAGCATGCAAAAGGGATTCTGCAAGAAGTCGGGGTTTCATTCATGAATCCACTGGGACTCAGCAGGAATGCACTTTGCCCCCCTCCCACCAGAACCCCCACTGGATGTTATGCCCATCTCCCTCAGTAATATTCAAACAATTGTCATTCTTTTCCTTAGGCTTTCTTCAGGATTCTCTCACTGGGGAAGATACTCACAGTGAGTGTGCCCCCAATATTTCTCCCGAGGGCTCCTGGCCACATCTTGTAAAGGAAATATTTCAGACTTGTCCCCTGGAATTTTAAGAAGGATCTACTCCTCAGATAGGGATCAACCTCCATATCCTCTCTGGGAGTGAGACAGATTGTCTCCAAATCCCAAACAAGTGTTTACTCCTGGGATTTGTCTTGGAATTCCTCCCTGTCATCACCCAAAAGCATGCATCTCTTAGGGTGATGGAGGAGAAGCTCTGTTGGATCAATCAGCAAAGATCTCATCTCTATTCAGTTCCTACCAAGAATGTCAGCCCCTCCAGGATCTCAGCCCCCTCCACTTGTTTCCATGGTAAACAAATCCCTGAGATTTAACACGCCAATCACTGGATGGCACTACCAGCCCAGACTGCTTTTGCTATCCACACTATTGCTCAGGTAAGAGAAGGGTCCTCCTACGATTGCCGTGTGAAGCACAGCATGTATCAGAGGTGGAGGCGAGGTAAGAATTCTCCCCACAGCAACCCAGTAAGCACCGACCATTCAACTACAACTGCCACAAGAACCCTAACCACAGAGACCACTTACCCAGCCACTTCAAAATACACTTGGCTGCTTGCCTCTTAGTTTGCTAGATCAGACATTTTTTAAATTCAGCTTTACATTGTTATTCCTGCTGCTGTTGGCTGCAGGCATACAATCGGGAAGAAGAAATACTGCAAGATGCAGAGAGATTAGCCCTGGCTCTGCAAGGCCAAGCTTACCTTGAGTGTCTACATCTGGGGTCCCTGTTGGGAGAAGTGACACTTCTTTTCTTGCATTGGAGAAAGGACTCTAGTTTGGTGCTTGGGAACTAGAATCCAGGACTCCTTTGGGCCAGCTCTACTAATGGAACAACACTGCCAAGAGAAGATCTTGGGAAGAGGCATTTGCCCCAGTGATGGCTCCTGAAACAACTCCTTGCTTGGGGGGCTCCATCACTGAAAAGGAATTGCTGGGAGATTCCCTGGCTGAAGTAACTTGTGCTTTGTTGGTGTGTTCTGATGCAGGCAGGTAGTGGGGGGCTATAAGCTATGGAGCTTTGCTGCAAGGTAGAGATGTGAGGAAACTTCATGGTGGTGAGCAGAGGGAAGGTACGCCTTATCAAGTGGCGTAATAAGACATAGCAAGGCAGGGAGGGCAAGAGGGAGTGGAAACGTTCTGGAAGGCAGAGACGCTTTATGCTTGGCACTAGAACTGATAAAACATCCCCTATCACCACCTCTATAGAACATAGCCTTAATAGAGTGGCTCTGCTATTTAGATTTAGCAAATTACCTATAACGTCACACTCTGCAGGGGTGCTACCTAGGTATCTCATGCTTGCTTCCTATTCTATACCAGCTCTCCTTGATTAAACAATCCCTTGTCTCCATGGCAGCTTGAGGCCACATCGGAGCTGCTGAATAACTCCAAGCAGTGCACTCAGCCTGTGCCTCTTTGCGTCCATTGACCATTGCCTTCTCTGCTGTTCCCATTGGCCACTGGCACTCTTTCCCAGGGGAAAAAGGAAGTATGGTGGTCAGGAGTAGGACAGCTGCATCTGCAAGGAAGCAATGGGATCTAAGTAGCAATCTCTGATATCAGGGTATTATCTTCATTCAAGGGTATAATTCCTTCAAGAGTGGCTCCCCACTGTGCCCCCACCACAGTCTATAAGTTTATGAAAATTTTGTTGCTGGGCTTAAATTTTTGTCATCTTACTTTGCGCTGCTATAGCCTAAATACTAATTCAATAAAATATATTCTGTTCTATTCAATGGGCATGAAGAACGGGTGATGGCGGCATGGTGGCAGGTCAGTGGTTGAGACTGGCCTGCCCACCAGTTTAACTTATGGATGCCTATGCTTTCCTATTCTGATCTGACCCTTTATACACCTTGAATAAGCACCTTGCCTTTAGGCCTTCTTTAACCCTCTCTGCTCCCATCCAGTGTTCCGTCATAACAGCTTCCTGCACTGCAAGGACAGCCAATGTGGTGGCCTCCAGAACTGCAGTTGAACTGCAACTCCCATCTGCCCCAGCCAGGATGTGCAATGTCCAGGCATGGTGGGAGCTGCGGTCCCAACAGATGTGAGGGCACTATGCTAGCTACCGCTGCAGTGTAGTGTGTATATCCAGCCATCAGTGTGTTAGATTGATTCCCTTCCTCTATCCCACCTTAAGGTCAAGTTCTGGCAGTGAGGTGTAATGGAAGCCTATTTGAGATTCGCCTTGCCCACCAAGGACCTCATAGCTGATCACAGGCATTCTTTCAGTGTAAGGAGCAGTGGATGAGAGCCCATCTGTCGGTCTGTCATGAGACTCTGCTCCGCAGGATGCCCAACGTATTCTGGGATGGAGTTGTGTGCTGTTCCCTAAGCCAAGCATATCCAGGGTCAGGGTTCCTTGAGATCATAGAGGGATTGCAGATGCTGCCCTCCTTCCCTTCCCCTCACCTTGGCAATTCTCTTTCCATGTGTCAGGCAGTGCAATCACCCTCTCCTCTTGGAAGACAACTGAACAGCCCACCGAGGTGCAGGGAGGCACCTTGTGAGCTAATGCTCTTTCTTCCTAACGAATGAGGAAAGGTATGGAGGAGACCCTACTACTGATGCTCCATCTCCCAGCCCCTTCCAGAGTGGAGGAAGCCAAGCCATCTTGTGGCAGCCTACACCACACAAGGTTCATGGGCAGGTGAGGACATGTCAAGAAAGCCTCCCTTTTTGCTCTTTGCTCCTGTCCTTGTGCAGATAAGGATATATGGAGGAGGTGGGAGCAGGGCAGCAGTCTGAGAAAACCTCTCTGAGCACAGAGAGGACATTCGTATTACACCATGTCTTTATCTGGACTCTGAGGCCCTTGAAACAATGGGGATCACTTTTCAACAAGCTGTGCCAACACAGCTGAGGTTAAAATTAAATGACCCAACCACATCAGCAGAGGTTGCCCACCTGGGTCATTCCCATAAGACTGGCACTCGTACTCTCTGCAGGCTGCTAATCCCACATCCGGCACTCACACAACTGGCCCTCATCCGCATGGCTGGGTTGCTGAAATGTTTCCCCAGCTATGGGAGATCCACTCACAGGAAAGTGCACTAGGGCAGCCATTGCCAAGCTGGTGCTCTCCAGATGTTTTGGGCTACAATTCCCATCAGCCTTTGGCACCACAGCCATGCCGGCTGGGTCTGGTAAGAGACGTAGTGCAAAGCCTATGAGGGGCACCAGGTTGGGGAGGCTGCACTAAGGCAACCTTTTCAGAGCCCCTTTAAGTATAGGGAAGGGAAGGATGAGGAGGCATCACCCCTTCCCTGACCCCCCTTTTGTCTGGGGAATGAGCAAAATCCTCTCTTTCTGGAACAAAATAGCAAACCGGAACAGAAAAATCATGCGGGCTGTCTTAGCCTATGCCTGATTAGCATCCTTCCTTTGCCACTTCTGCTACATACCAGCCCAGTATCTCCGTTAACAGTCACCCCCTTCTCTTTACCTCAGTACAAAAGCAAGTATCTCCTCCCCACCAATCCGAAGGAGTTAACAGTGGTCCCCATAACACAGTAGAGACAATTCATTTTACACGGGCCTTTTTTCCTGTTCATTTTTGTAAACTTTTAAGAAATGGTTTTCAGTTTCTTTTATCAGGGTTTTGTTTTGTTTTTGTTTTTCACAGTCAGGTGGGTTAATTTGTGTATGTGTGTGTGTTGATTTTCTTTCTTTTAATGAGAGAGTCACAACTTCTGCTGAGCAGAGACACCTTTCCAGTAATCCAAGATATCGTGCAGGTCTTCGTCCTTGGCAAACTGGACCTTCTTCCGCAGGGCGTGGCCGGCCGCCATGTAAACCTCCTCCCGGTGGTGCTTCTTGTAAGGCCGGAAACGCTCCCAGATCTTATGGGTGCTCTCTGAGGAGTACTCTGGGCTGGAGGAATAGCCCGAGAAGTAATGTCTAGGCGAGAGCTGAGAATATGTGGAGTCCCGCTTGGACCGGGAGAGCGGCTTAAGGAAGGACACCCTCTGACTTAAGGTATCGCCGCTCTCCTCATAGTAGAGAGCTGGGAAGGAATGCCGGTGTTCACTGCAGTGGTAGGATGGTTTCACCTCCAGGTGGTGGATGGCACCTGGGGACACGAGGGGAAGACGATCCAAGGGGCTGTTGAGTGGGCTTCCTTTCTCAATGTACTTGGAGTCTGCCTTACTCAAAGGTGGGTGGTCAGGTACATCAAGGCTGAAGACCTTGGCACTCTTGATGGAGCCGCTGGAGGAGACACTGCAGGTTTTCCTGGTCACTGCAGCATCTGCACTGAGCTGACGCTGCAGGGGATGGTGGGAGCTCTCCTTGTAGGGTGGTGAGAGGAAGCTTGGCCTCTCCAGCCCAACAGAGGAACCGGCTGGTATGGACTGGCATTCAAAAGCCATGTCAGAGTCAACACCACCCCCTCCCCCCAAGAAAGAGGCTGTGTCCAGCTTGAGGGCATCAATGCAATTGTTGATTATCTGATTCACCTTGTCCACTTCCTTGGCAATTGTTGAGATTTCAGCAGCTGAACCTTGCCCATTGTCCAGTTCATGTAGGTCATCATCCCGCTGTGACCTGTCCAGCCCATCCCCGCCACCTGTCCGAACCTCAATGTAATTGCCCTTGGTGGTGACCTTGGGAGTATCCATGCCAGCCTCCATGGATTTGGATGAGGGCATCTTCTCCCCAATCATGGATGGAAGAGAGGACATCCGTGAGACAGGGATGACAGGCGGCTCCCCCAACTTCTGTGACGGATGTACAATTGAGCTGGTATCAATATCTGAGCCATAACGCATCTCCAAAATTGTTTTCTTGACGTTGAGGGACTTTTGCTTCTCCTCTTGCATCCTACGCTTCCTCAGGCAATAATAAACGATGCCAAGGATAATAACCATTCCAAAAAGACAACCTAAGATAGTCATGATGTAATGGGTAGTGGTGGATGTGTTGGCCATGGGTTCCTCTCTCCCTTTGCTCCTAGTGGCAAAGGAGAGGCAGGTGTGGTTGTAGCGCTTGGAGTTGCGTATGGAAGCCACACAAAAGGTATAGTCTGTGTGAGCCTTCAGGTGGGTGAGAGTGACAACTTCCTTCTTCTTCTTCAGGGTCATTACATCAGAGATGTAGCTATTATTGTACTGGACCAGCACGTACATCTTGCTGAAGGGGAATGGGATGGTCACCACCAAGGCAGCTGAGGTGATAGTCACCTGCTGGAGCTTGATGCTGGGGATGTAGGAGGAATCCGTGGTGGAAGACGCTGGAGGCTCTACTGAGAGGAAGTCTGGGCTGATGCCTGAGTTCTCAGCATTGTCCTCCTCCCTCTGAGAATCTGGGATGTATGGTGTGGGGTTGATCCTGGAGATCAAGGGGTAATTGCCATCCCCACACATTGACTTGAAGATGGTGATGGCATTGCGGCTGTGGTGTGGCCGAGGCATGAGAAGTGGGTAGCCGGCAAACTCCCGGGGAGTCTCACACTGCAGGCGGTCATAGTTTTTGGTAACATTGTTGAAGGCCACCAGCCACATGAGGAAACCATAGAGGTTGCAGTCGCAGTTGAAGGGGTTTCCCAGCCAGTTCGCAAACCATCAGGTTGCTGAGGCTGGTGAAGGTGCTTCCCTCCAGGCGGCTGAGGCGATTGGAGGACAGGTCGATGCTGATGAGGCTGGGGCATTCGTTGAAGGCAGTGGGGGTAACCACCTCGATCAGGTTGTGCTGCACAAAGAGGAACTGGAGACGGCCCATGCCGCGCAGCATGCTCTCTGTCAGGTTGGTGAGCTTGTTGTAGCCCAGCTGCAGCACCTGCAGGTTGGACTGCCCCATGAAGGCTCCATCCTCGATGTAGGAGATCTCGTTCTTCGTCAGGTTGAGGTCCGTCAAGTTACCAAAGCGGTTGAGGGAGGAGTAGAGCACCACTTTGAGCTTGTTCTCATTCAGCCGCAGGTCGTGCACAGTGCTGTTGATGTGCTGAGGAATGGTCTCGTACGGAGGCTGGTTCTGGCTGCAGATAGCGAGCCAGACATAACCTTTGTCTCCTTCGATCAGCCAGCAGTCACTCCAGACACTGCTGGGGGCAAAAATGCAGAGCAGGGTAGCCACCCAGAATCCAAGACGGAGCATGTTGGGCTACAGTGCCCCCTTTAGGCTAAAAGAGGCAAACCCAGCAACAACAAGAACAACAACAACAGAATTGAAAAGGAGACTTCAAGAGGGCGACTTGACGCCCTCGGAGCTTAGCAATCGAAGGACATGAGCACCCCAGTTCTGTTGGACGCCACCATTGTCATATGTGCCCAGTTTCACACACAGTGACAACACTGACTAGCTGTGGTCGTCAATCAGAGTGAAAGTTGTACTTGGAGGGGAAAGATAGCTATCTCTCTCTCTCTCTATTTGTGCTTCTTCTCAAAGCCAAACAAAAATGAAACGTTCAGCAACAAATCTTCTTTGTGTGACTCCTCCACAGCCTCCCCTGAACAACACCATGATGCAATTGGTGGGAGAACAAGGCAGCGCCGCCTTGGTGTCGCTGACACTCCTTGGGTGCAGCTTCCGCCTCCGCCTCCTCTCGTGGGTCCCCTCCGAGATGCTTCAGAACTTCAGATCAAACGTGTTGAAAACAAACAAACAAAAAATGTAGGGAGAGGAGGAGAACGTAGGGAGGGGGGAGAAGGAGATGGAGGCAAAAAGGGAGGGAGGGAGAGAGGGATCCATCTGTCGCTGAAATCTGGAAAGGAAACACACAAGAGACAAGAAGAGGCATCAATTAGGGGGGCTTTGAAATATGAAAAAAGACAGCTAGGTTTGTTAGTTTCACAGGGATGGGGAGAAGCCGAGCGCAGAGCAATGAGGATGGAAGAAAGGGGGGGGCGTATGTGCTGGATTAGCATCGCTTGCTATGTCGATAAGCTTTGGCGAAGGGAGCCCTTGTAACATAATCTTGTATATCAGTGATAGCCAGAAGGGTACTTGGGTTCTGTTATGTAACAAAAATCAGAGCCTTGTGAGGAGGGGGAGCGGAGAAAGTGGAAGATGGGGACAACGAAGTGGAGGGGGGAGGATGTACAGCTGTGTTTCGTTCAGCTTAACATACCCCTCCCTTCAATGGAGATTTTCAGCTGTCCCTGTAAAAACAATTTCTCTCTCTCTCTGTTGTGTGCACACATACGCGCACACACTCAAGATAAATAAATAAGGGTCCTAACTAAATGCTTTTCTCTTCCTTGATGCAAAAAAGATAAATAATTCATTTGTTGTATAACTGCTCTTGTTCCGAAAATAATTCTCTCGCCTTAGCAGAGATTTTTTTTTGAGGGGGGGGTAATATGGTCTGGGTGAGTGCAGGGGGGGAGCACCTTTAATTGGCGGAGAAAACTGTGCAGCTGTGATGGTCACAGCTGGGCTAGATGCATGCTGAGGAATAGGGAGATGTGTCAACAGCACACATAGCTAGCAGTCCTTAGGAGGTCGACTCTCCCCTTTGGAATAAAGATGTTGGTGGTGATTAACGGGTTTCTTCTTTACACATCTGAGTTTACTGAAGTGCTTCCACATCCCTTAGCCCCAGAGCAGTGTGTATTTTTTGCTATTTGGTGAATGGTCGGGCCTTGGCAGTGTGGAATTTGTAGCGGGGTGCAGTACGGCAAGCTGAGAATCTCAACGTTGTCCCCCTTTCAAAATGCCAAGTTTCTGGTCCTCAACAATACAGTGGTACCTGAGGTTAAGAACTTAATTCGTTCTGGAGGTCCATTCTTAACCTGAAACTGTTCTTAACCTGAGGTACCACTTTAAGCTAATGGGGCCTCCCGCTGCTGCCAGGCCACCGCCGCGAGATTTCTGTTCTCATCCTGAAGCAAAGTTCTTAACCCGAGGTACTATTTCTGGGTTAGCGGAGTCTGTAACCTGAAGCGTCTGTTACCCGAGGTACCGCTGTAGGCTTGAAATTGCAAAAGCGATGCCTGGTGAAACCTAAGGAGCAGGAGAATTCCCAGTGGTCAGAGAGCGTGTGAAGCTTTAGTGACCTGAATAGCCCTTGCTGCTTTGCCATTCCCAGCAGAAATGTGCCACCTTGCATAATTGGACCAGACAGCAGAATTTAGCTTCTCAAAGTTCAGAATTTAAGTTACGTTAGTACAGCTCCTTTATTTCTTTCTTCTGGTTCCACTGACATTGGAGGCAAGATTCCTATTGACATTTAAACATAGGAAGAGTCATGCTGGGTCAATTTAAAGGTCTAACTAGTTCAGGGATAACCAACATGGCGCCTTCCAACTCCCATCATCCCTGCCCATCAGCCATGCTGACTGCGGCTGATGGGAGCTGAAGTCCACCAAAAGCTGCTGTTGGCTGCCCAATCTAGTTTAGCTTCTTGTTTCCTGTTTATCACACTGGCTAACCAGCTGCTTCCAGGAAGTCCAGTAGTAAGTTGTGAAGGCCATGCTTATCCACAAGCAACTGGCATTCATTTTCACACTGCATCCGAACTTTGAAGTTTCATTTAGCCATCTTAGCTAACAATCATTGATATAATTCTCCCCCTCCTCCTCCTTCTCCTCCTCCTCCAATAATCTATCTAACCCCCTTTTACAGCCCTTGAACCCAACAGCTATATCCATTTCTTGTGGCACTGAGTTCCAAAAACCAATTGAACATTATCCAAAGAATTTCTTTGCTCTGTGACCGACCTACACCTATGGCCAGTCAATTTCATGAACTGAACCCACATTATACAGAGTTATGAAAGGAGGACCTTTCTTTGCTTTCTTCTGACTGTGCATCAACTTACAGATTTCTGTTATAGTCACATTTTTATTTGGACTCTTTGATCTGGCAACCATGATCTTGCTAAATAACTAATCTTCCCTTTCCCTAATTTACACATTAAACAGAAAAACCCGATACCTCTGCCAAAAGGCTGTGAGGGATAAAGTCCTGATTGATGATTTTCACAGCACAGTTCTATCCGTGTCTATTCTGAAGCAAGTCTCACAGAGTTCAATGGGGCTCATTCCCAGGTAAGTGGGTATATAGCATTGCAGCCTTAGACTTCAGTGCTGGTAAACAAATATCATTATCAATTGCAGATTGGTGGAGCTTTTCTTGCTTCAAATTCAGTCACGCGTCAAGTTCATATCATACTTTTTTTCCCCTCCCCACTTCTCAACAAAACAACTGAGGACAGTTGCTGTGGAATCTTGTACCATATGGAAATTAAAACTACAGGAAAAGGGAAGACCTGACAGAAAATAAAGAAAAGGTGTTCAAGGAGCATGTTAGCATGTATTTTGCTGAGACTTAACAGGCATCTTCAATCTATTCACTCTTGTCTTAACGTTTCAGACTTCCAGATTTTACATTAACAATGAAAGTGACAAGTCAAAAGTAGGCTATTCAGGTATACAAGTTGTGTTTGAATGTCTCAGTGTTCCTAGAGTATACCTGAGTCACATAATGTTACCTGCTTGTGGGGTAAGGAAATGATTACGTAATGCTACTAGGGTGTCCTGAAGCCCAGAGAGATTTAAAACTCAGTTCACACATTGCAGTTTTGAGAAACAAAATAGTGACTTGCCACCTGCCTACTTTGCTCTGTGATTGGATTACCCAAAGCCCAGAGATGAGGCAGGAGACTCCAGGGAGATGGCAGAATAAATCCCTGCTCTCCACCAGAGGCTCCTATGCCAGGAGAAACCCAACAGCTAGTCCTGTCACCACCTCTGTGGCTCGTAGCAGTTATTCTGACCTCTCCTTCTGACTTTGAGGACTCCATCATTCATCCCCCAGCTCATGAGTGATTCATAACTAGGGTTCAGACAAATATTATCTCAGCTTGGCCTCAAGGCATACATTTTTGATTGGGGTAGAGGAAGGGGAAATCGGGGAAATTAAATATGATATTTTTGCAAGTTTAGCTATGCTGTGTTTTAATATCCTCAGCAATGACCGACTGAAACAACAGCATGTGGGTTTGTGCATCCCATCAGATAGAGAGGCATCCAAGATCAAGGCGTCTGTAGGAGTAAGTCGGAACCCAGAGAAGCAACGGGAATGCTCCCCTGGGCTTCCACACTCCATCCCCACCCCACTTGCCACCACCGCCACTGCTGCTGCTGTGGTGAACAGCTTTCTGCAGACTGAAAACTTGCTTGCATAAGCAGCAACGTGTCAGCAGCAAAATCCACAGCACTAAGGATGCCCAAGGGAGAGCTCAAACTACTCCCCAAAGTGCCTGTACTAGATCTGTGCATTGATTGGGTGTGTGGAACCACATGATCCAAGCTGCTGGCATCTAGCCTGCAGACCTTCTAGGAAGCAACTTGAATGCTCCCTGGAGATAGCATTATCTCCAAAACATGAAATAGGCTCAAAGCATTCCAGAGAGGCTGCAATAAACAAACAACTAAATAAAAACCTCACTGGAAGAAAGATCAAATTGGAAATAGAAAAAGTGAGTAATTTTGGTTCAGCTAACTTACTGACAGTGCTCCATAAAGTATCACCTAAATCTGTGATAGGTTTGTGCAAATTATTTATAAAATGTTTTACATCCCTCACTGTGTCCCATATTTCAAAGTGTGATGTTCTCAGAAGTCCTTGTTTAAGGAGTTTCATTTGAAAACTGAAGGTGGAGATGGGCACAGGAAGAAGTGTGATGTCTGTGCAGCGAGAGAATCCCAGAATGCCCACTCATATAATAATCACAAAAATAATAACTTGCAATATCTGTTATATTTTCAGTGCACCCCTGACTGAAAAGCAATACCCCTACTGGTCAGAGGAACATTCTTTTTTTCTCCTTAATTGATCAAGGCTGCAATCCCAAGCATGTTTAGGATTAAGACAGCAGGATTTACATCTGAGTAAGCATGCATTTGAATTGCAGCCTGTATGACCCTATCACCTCAAGCCTTCCAATGAGTGTGTTCTTCATTATTTGTGTAGCTTCTTCCCCTTGACCTTACTGCCTTGGGTGACCCTACTGGGAGTACGAAACTCCCGATGGCTTCGCTCCCAAGGATCATAGGAATACGCAATGATCACTCACCATGACAATGATCCAGCGAGTGAGAGTGTGAAATACCTATTAGGTTTAAGTCTTTCCTCTTTCTTGAAAGTATGTTATATTGTTGCTGAATTGCTTTGTTTGTTTTAATAATATTATTAGGGTGGTCTTGTGTCCTACTTTGTCAAGAACAGTCCCTTATATGAAGGACAGTTCTCTGCGTGAAGGAGTCCTCTGTTTTAAGGGTCGTCCAATATGTCTGTTTTAAAAATAAAAGAAATGTAAGAAGGGAGATCAGAGGTCTCGCAGTTGCCCATCGACAAAGTTAGCAGATGGAGCAGGCTCACGGGTCACCTGCTCAGTCTTTCCCACTACAGTCAAATGGGGGAAGACTCTCCATGACCAATTATAGTCATATTTTCCAAAAGCTACATTTAGCCTATGGTAATCATTTTGACATTTTCATCTATACATATACATTAGCGCATGCAACTTTTTACACAAATCTCTGTCCACTTTTTAAGTGATGCAGAAGCAGCTATCCTTAATATTATTCTGGTCTGCTTGTTATTTATTGTTATCATTGTTTTATACCAATTTTATTATTTATTTCTATTGCTGCCTTTTCTGGTGCTTTATGATGACTCTGTTTTCCATCAAATGTTGTGGCATTACATATTATATTTATGCAGGGATTTATTTTTTTCCAGCCAAAACTCACCAGA